AACATTTCTCAATATAATAAATATAATATTCACTACACCCTATGGATTTTTCCTATCTATGATCAAACTCATCACTAACTACAACTTTTACCCGTTGTTCTAACAACGTCAAGACGGCTTATCGACTTCTTGAGAAGAATTCTAAGAAGAAAGTAAACCTACAGACATCGGTCTTGTTTAACAAAATTATAATATATATATATGAAAGGGATACATTTACGCCTATAACTGTTGTTTTTCTAAAACAATTTTGGTAATATTTGTTATACATGTAAAACATTTCATTTGCTATTATCTATACTTTTTCAGTAATTTTTAGCATATATGACCTTGAATGACCTCAATAATATTGTATCAAGGTTAGCCCACAACACCTTATTCCATACCACTAACAATTATTTTCCTATACCTCTCCATTTCTATAACCCTTTATCACCCTGTATATTACTTTTATTATTATAATTAAAAACCAGAGTTTTATGACAAGTATTTCAAAGATGCGTAGCAGTTTTTTTTACATCCTTTAACATGTTTTTTTGTTTGTGGTAGAGTAATGCCCCTTGTATTACTGACAAGGCAACAGAAACACCTCACCAGCCTGAGTCTGTTTTATCACTGTCTCATCAGCCACAGCATGGTGTGCTTCAGCAATGGTGGGTTTATTTCTGTAGTAAAAGCATATCTAAAATCATCAACACTAATGTCTCAGAATTATAGCCTTTCTACAAACTGTTACTCAGTAAAAGAAAACTATTAAACATTGTACTTCGTTTAATCAGCATGCTGTATAATGTAAACCAAGAACTGTATTTCCTAGAAAGAGAATATTCCATCAAAAAATTAATAAACAAACTTTTCAATATGAAAAGTCATTACTTTATAACTATATTTGTCAAATGTTAAGTTGGATTTAGTTCTAATTGAAAACTTTTTAAGTTAAATTTTAAGTTTCTTTTTTTGCAGTACAAAATTAATTTTAACTATAGCCAAGTGCTTTAAGTAGTATTTTTTTGAAAGGTTGTGAAACATAGTTTTGTTTTATTTATTTGCTGTTAACTTTAACAACAACTTTTCTACTTAATTTTCTTTAACTGGGTTAAAGTTCTAGTAAAAATTGCCCTAAACAATACTTACATGTGAGATTATATTATTACTAAACTAAATAAATTACAATATTTTAAACACTTTTATTTCATTGGCCACAAACTGTTCAGTTTTTGTTTTTCCACATTTTTACCAATATAGATATTAAGAGTAAAACATGAGAAAAAGTGATTCAGCTGCCTCAATTTATGTTGTACAGGATGAGGTGTTTACCAGTTTTATGCAACCCTACCCCAATAATGTATATGACATGCTAACATATACTATTGTCTTCTGAAATTGTATGTGAGATTTATTAATCATATGCATTATGTCTTTGAAACTGAAGAAATATACAAAACTAATAGTTATGTACATATTCATTTATGCATCTCAGAGCAGATACTCGGTAACATTTTAGCCCTTTTGTCACTTCTAGGATCAGTGTGATAATATTTGTAATGAATTGTATATTACATATTGTAGGTTTAGTGTGCAAATAACTTTTTTTTTTAGTCATATGGAAATTGGATAGTCTTTTTCTCTTCATTGATATTGTTTGGTGGTTGAAAAGCATGCACCATGTGTGGCTGTCTTTTAGAAAGTTTAGTTTTTACTATCTCATAATGCTGTGTGGCAAAGACATTACAAATTATCCATTTTTGTTTGCATTTTCCACTCATGAACCCAGATGAAGTATGGCCCAAAATGACCTTCTATCTGGTTATTGTGCAAAAATTAAAAACATTTGATGATTTTCTTGCATTCAAGTAACTTATACATTTCAGGCTTTTTTTAGCTATAACTTTTGTGTTATGATCATTTTAGACTAATGTTCTGAAATATAATTACCATAATTTTATGATTTTAGCTTCTAGTTGCTGTAATTGAAAAATTTCAGTGACTAAACAGTTTTCTTACATATTTCAACACATAATTTCTTACATGGAGTGGGTAAAAATGTCATCTTTTGGTTTTAAAAATTTTAGGTTTAAAATTTTTGTCTGTTTTTATTTAGAATTTGCTTTTAACACTATTCTATTTACAATTAAAAGGAATACAATGTAAAATCATTACACAATAAATAGTTATTAAAAACAGGGACTTGCCCTGAAAAGACTACATATGTTTTGGTGCCCTATGATACTATCTTCAGGAGTAACGTAGTCATTTATATACCATTAATGCCATCTAGTCTTTTTATTTGTAAATAGATGTTTTTTACACAAGTGTCATTTTTAAATCATTTATGTAACACTATTATTGAAAATCTTCCCATGATTCTTGTTTTATTTTGTATTCTAAATTTTCTATGTATTATTCATTTTTTTTTCCCCCATTTCATAAGATAGAAAAAAAAAGAATTTTATGTCACTAGTGATTTCCAGCCAGAGTGAAAAAGAAAACTTAAGTAATCCAGGAAAACTAAAAACATCACATGTGATAAGGGACATTTACTAATCACATATTACTTTAATGTTTCTTTTCTTTTAAAGTAATAAACTAATTTGATGTTCAGAATGTATTGAAAATATGTTCTTGTGAGACAACTTAGGTAAATTTTTCATCAATTTTTTAAAAAAGTTATTTTTTTTTTCCATATATTTAGCTTGAAGCAGAAACAAATTAAGACAAATGAATTACAACACAGTTATGAAAACTTAGACAGAACTCTCTTAAGAAAACAAGAAAGGCAGGACCTAGACAAAGAATACACATATGCTGAGGAACAAGACTTACTTGATACTTCTACTAATAGCGAGGTTTGTTATTTTTTAAAATTTATTTTATCAGAGATTAGTAGAAATATGTGCTTTCGGTTTCATTTCATTCTGTAGTTGCAGCACATTCAGCATAAAATTTCCTTCCAAAAATCGAGCTTATGTATTTTCAAAATAAACATTTTCTTTTTTAACTGTTCATTTTAAAATTTGCTCTCAGTGGCACAATGGTAAGCCTGCAGACTTGTACCACTAAAAATTGGTGGGTACAGCACAGATAACTCATTTTGTAGCTTTGCAGTTAACTACAAACAAAAAAACATTTCAAGTCATTAGTTAATATTGTTACTCTTACTATAATGGATGTAGCATGTATATATATATATATATATGTATCTATCTATGCATGTGACCGAAATGATAAATACAGTGTGGTGCCATCTATTGACTGGCACCAAAAACTATTTTTTTTATTAGAAGAAATCTTTAATTGTATTGCTATAATTCATTGGTTTAATATCATACTATATAGTAAATGGTTATGAATAAAAGAACACTTTTCTTCCAAAGTAGTGATCTCTGTTCTGTTATTTTTAGTGCCGCCTTCTGCTGGGAATGGAAGAACCTCAAATGGTGCTAGAAACAAACTATTTCATATGTAAGTAGATGATGGATTAATCAGGTGTAACTATTTGGTTTAATGTTATCTTACAGTGTTATGATACTAGAAATCAATTATTTCATATGTAATTAGATGTTGAATTAATTGGTATAAATATCTGGTTTAACACTACTGTGAGAAGGTAATCAAATTCAGTTATTTAATCTGATTAGATTTTGAATTCATCATTATATTTATTTGGTTTAATAGTTTATTGTGTTGTAATACTAGGAATCAGTTATTCAATGTGTAATTAAATGTTGAATTAATTGGTGTACTGGTTTAATGTGTTATTGTTGGACAGAAATTGGCTATTTAATATATAAAAAGGTGTTAAATTAACTGATGTTGAATTAACTATGTGGAAGCTGTCCGCGACCTGATTCGGGGTGAGATGGACTCCTTCATGCGGCCTGGGGTATCTCTCCAGGAAGTGCTGGTTTGAATTTTTTATTCTGAAAAGGGATATTCTGGGGAGAATTTAGACTCCCTGTTTCCTGCTCCTTCTTTCACTAGAGCTTCCTCTCCTGAAGACTCATCTGATCAGCCACCTTCTGCCTAATTGAGACTTTAGGGTTGTTTTACATGTTTTATCACATCATCCCTTCAAACCCATGGCCTCCTGTTCATTATATCACTTTTCTTTCACAATTTATTTTTTATTGTTGTTAGCTTCAGGATGCCGTGTTCCTCAGGAGTCCTCAGTGCTTATGTTCCCCCCTTACTTCTACTGGGGTGGCAGACAGAAGATTCTCCTTTGGAGTGTTGAGTTTTCTCCACTCTCGGAGAAGAGGGCGAGGTTGGGGACCCTCCTACCTGAGTTCCTGGAAGTTTTTTCCCAGATGTTGGTAGGAGCAGGACCATCCTATGTGGGAGCCTACTCATTAAACCAGTCCAGATTTGACACTTAGCTATCTGGTGTGAAGTCTTATGTTGTTCATGCAGAGGGTCCACTACCTCCTCGTAAATCTGAAAGCGATGCAGTCCCATCTTTGGTCCTTGGTGGGACAATGTTCCCCATCCTCTCCATAATTCCATGGGTAAATGGAATTCTCCTTTCCCACTTGGTGAGGGAGTAAAGACAACTGTTTGTAAATCCATATTGGATGAGTTCTGGACTTTGGTGGAGTATGGCATATAATCCCATCAATCCAGGCTTAGAGTGTTGACTTTTGGACTTTTACAGGTTGATCAGAAGGATTGTCCACTTTGGTGTTGCGTTCTTACTTTCATAAATCCAGTGGTTCAAAACACATCATTCTGTGGGTACTGGTAGGGATCCTATCACAAAGATATATATATATATATCTGCAGTCCAACTGCCCTGGCCACCAACATGGGATATGGGTACCATGACCACTTAAATCCAACCAAAGTTGTGGATTCTTGGCTGTTTGCTCAGGGCTGAACCATTATACTTGTATTATATTCCACTCTTTTCATTTTGCTGTAGTTCTGGGTGAAGAACATACCTGTTCTGGATGCAATGTTCCCTACTCTGATTCCACTTCTTGTGGTACATATTTGTTCTCTACAGATGCTTTATGTATGATCTCTGTCCTCACCGGCCCCTTCGTCTTCTCAGTGTGGGACTCTAGCTATTAGTGTCAGCAGAGGTATGTATGTTTTCGAAGTTATCATTTTCCTAAACTGTAAATGTATTTCTAAACATACTTACCTCTGCTGACACTCTCCCTCCCCACTAAGAGCCAATGTTAGTGATTGGAACAAGGTAAGTCATGTAAAAGTGGTTTTATTGTCTACATACAATGCTTATATACAGTACCTGCATATAGAGCGTGTGAGGGCCGGAGTAAAGTTTTGCAAATTAGATATTGCCGAGGTCAGTCGAGTGGGGTATATAAAGACTGGAACAAGCAAACACAATGTTAGATAGCAAAGATGAAGATAGAGAAATAGCTATTGGTGTCAGCGGAGGTAAGTATTTGGAAATACATTTTCAGTTTAGGAAAATGATAACTTATAATAAATAGTGGACTTGGTGGTAAAATTTATCATTCATACTTTTTTGAATTATCAGAAATCTTTGCAAAATATAAAATGATGGTTCTTGAGAATATTTTGTTTTGATATTTAAATGTGTGGTCACAAATAAGGTAATCTGTCACTAAAGAGCTAAACATGAAAAAAAAAAGAATTTTGTGTAACAATTTAACTTCGTTATTATGGTAATAAAACTAACACTACATCATAAACTTATATTATTATTATACACTGTGTATTTCACATTTCATATCAGATGTTGAAACCACATTTTGTACATTTCCCCAGATGAATATATAACATTTTACATTCCCTATCCTATTTACAGGAATCCACCTAAATAATTCCTTTTTTACAAACTTGAGAGAAATGATAATAAACATTTCAATATATTTTTTAAAGTTGTTCATTTATAGAAGCAGCAGTTTCTGGTTTGAAATAAACTTTTTGATTATGTACAAACTTATTTTGTAGTAAAAAATAATGTTTTCCAGGTCAGTAAATGAATTGTCTATTCTTTCATTTCTTTAGCTCGTCACGTAAAGACACATTGTCACAGATTTAGAAGATGGATTCGTGGCAGAAGGTCTGTCATTGTTTTGTCTTACTTTATAAATCTGAATAAGTATAGCTGCTATAGATTTGATCAAAAATAAATAGTAAATAACAGTAGTCCTTGTGGTCCTAAGACAACAGGCTTGTGATTCTAGGACTACTGAATGTTAGCATGAGCTACCTACTCTTATGTCTTTAATAACATACTCTTGACTTTTGGTCTACAGATTTTCAGTTGTGATACTTATCAAATCTGACTTTATAATAACAGATTTTGATTCTGAGACAACAGATCTACTCCAAATAATAATAGTTCTAGGACTCGTTTTTTTATCTTTGTAACTTTAGATTCTTGAATGTGACACTATGCACATTTAGCTTGGCAGCTAGAAACTGTTGACAATTTAACCACAGACTCTTGACTGTGGAACAGCAGAATATTGAATTGATGCCATGATGTGTTTGACCTGTAAATGCAGATTTAACTGTTCAAGGCTACAAAGTTTTATTACTCATACTACAGATTCTTGATCCTATGATAAGCAATTTTGGTTTAAAAGGTTATCAAATTTTTTGCAGGTTATTCTAGGAGATTTTTAGTTTTCATGAGTTGTGTTTATCATAGAAATAGTTATTTGAAAATCTAGGTATACTTGAAGGTATTGAATAAATTCATATGAAAGATTAGGATAGCTTGTGTGCTCACTTTTAGTACTTTTTAAGTCATATTTGTAGTCAAATTGTCTTATTTTAATTCACAGTGAAAAGCTAAGCTTTTCTTCACTTGAAGTGTGGTTTTTATACATCTAACATATTTTTTCCTTTTACAGGAACTACTGCTATCACTCCTTGAGACAGAAGAGTGCCTTGCATCTGCTGTTCTATATTTACTTGCTGTTCATACACTTGTGGGCATTCAGCTGTCCATTGTTATAAAAGGAGCTTTCAGGTTTATTGGGGGAAAATTATTAGTCATTAGCCAGTACCAACCGTCACATTATTTCTGTGATATGTCTTTTTTTTTTTAACTATGTAAATATCTAAATTTTTTCGTATTAGAGCAGTTTGTTGAACAGAGACCATAACCATTCATATCTTGCCTCAGAAATCTTTTACATAAAGATTTATTACTGACTGCATTTATTCAAATTTTATTTTAAATATTGTAGTAGTTAATAGTATAAAGCTTTTGTCTTCCAGTTGCAGAATGATTGTTTGTTAACTTAATTTATATTTTGTTCATGTTTATTGGGCATATCAAGTGAAATACAGTGTGCTAAGTTTTTGTGATTCTGACATTTAAATTCAAGTGCTTCCTTATGGTATGAAGATAGAAAGGAGACATGTTTCACTCAGTTTCTGAAGGCTTTAAACCCAGTAAAACTGTGACTTAATTTTAGCTTTATTTAAGCTTTCTCTTTTGACTAACTTTTATATTAAAAGACTTTTTTTCAAAATATATACTTCTGTACCTCTCTATGCAGGTCAGGTTTTATAAGCTGCTTTCTTATAAATGACCAGTTTCACACTATTTCTGTAAATGAAAAATCTTAGTATTATATATTAATTCACAAAGCTATTCCTGTACAGGGCTTAGATTGTCTAATTGTAGTGCACATGTATGAATCTTGTCTGTTTTTGCTCTTATATTGTGCAGTACTTGAAAAATTGTGTAGCTTTGAAACAATATCCTAAACCACCTATTACTAAATCTGTGTTTACATCTCCTACAAGAATGTGTATATATACCACTTGCAGTCCTTGTGTACAGTTTACACAACTTTTATTTTACTTCAGGGTAATTACCTTAAGCAATATCCTAAACCACCTATTACAGAATCTGTGTTTATATATCCTACCAGAATGTACATATATCACTTGCAATCCATGTGTACAGTTTTCAAGAAGTTTTATTTTGTTTTAGGATAATTAGCATAGCCACCTGCTCATCTACATGGTTGATTCCTTCTCCAAATCAGGGTTAAACTTTTTTAGATGGAAATTTCAGTTTTTATTCTATTCAGACTGAGTGATATAATATAGGTATTCAAACTTAACTGACAAAATGTAAAATTTACCAAATGATGTATTTTTTTTATTACTGCCTACTTGTTTAAAAGATGTAAACTTTATTCATGTTGTAAAGTATCCTTTGAATTATTTATTTTGAACTTTGGATATTGATTTATTTACCCAATTATGGCAAGATACAAATATTGTTAACTTAAAACAATCAAATTTCTATTAAAAACTTAGTTGTATTATAAACATTAACTGATTTAATTATTTGTTCTTAATGAAGAATGCTATTTGAATGAAATGTGTTTTTAACAACTTCTCTTTTTTTGGAATTCTAAATGCTAAATGTACGAGGTATTTCATGAAAATAATGTAATTAGAAAAACTTAACAGAAACTTCATACTCAGTTTATCAGTGTTTATGTTTTTGTTTAATTACTTAACCAAGTTACTAAAAACAATAAGTAGTTAGTACAAGTACTGGGGTACTGAAACTCTTATGCATTAAAAATTCTAAAGTGGAAAAAAAAAAGCCATAAGCACGTATGCATTGTATATGAAAGATAATTAAGTTGGAATGTAATACTTCATGTATTTTCTGCAAATGTTGAAGGTAATTAAGTAACTTGTGTGATATTTAACAGTTAAAAGCAAGATAATTCACTCTCTTTAATAAATGAAATTGAAGATTTTGATATTTAATTTTGATGCAAAATCTAACTAGACTTATCAGATGTCAAAGGTCGTATTGCCCAAACCAAATGTTTCAAAATGGAAGATGTAATTATAACTTTCTAGCAGTTTAACATGTGCTATCTGAAACCTTTTTTTTTTCCCTCGGACAATGTTTTTTTTATGAAGCGAAAGGCAGCTTGATACCAATGGTTTGCTTGTACATTTATAATCAGTGTAGTTTATAGAAATTATCTTACATATTATTAACGATTGATTAAATATGCAAATGTCATTCTATTGTTTCTTATTCTTGTGATTAATTCTATGAAAATAACTGGCTTACCCATTCAATGCATGGGGAAGACATAGGAGGATCAGATTTGAGTGCATACCTCACCCAGTGTTCCTGTGTCACTTCCTCCCAGGGGACGGGAGGCCCTAAGAATACATACCATTTTTGGTGGCAGTTGATTCAGCGGTTTAGCTGTTACAGGAAAATTCACAGACTTTTTTGTCAAATAATGGTTTAAATACACATTTTGTTATTGTATCACACATCATAACTTACTGTTCACGTGTAAGAAGTGGTTGATTTTTAGTAACCTACTTAGGGAAAGTGTTAAAAGTATCAATTTAAATATTGTTTGATGTAAGAGACCTACATCCTTAGTTCATTTCACTTACGAAAGTAGTTTTATTGATTTTTAAAATGTTTATTAAGACTCATTCTGTTTAATAAGTTACCAGAAATATCATGATAGTACCCCTCGTGTTGCCCACTTGCTTTTAAATCGGTTAAAAGTAACAGATAAAGTTTACAATAAGTAAAAATATAGTAATAAAATATGCATGTAGAAAATAACTTAAAACCAATAACTGATAAACGATATACTCAGAATGATTATGTTTAAAGGTGTTGAAGAAATTTTCAGAGTTTAGCCAAAAGAAGGATTTTTTTTATGCTTGGAAAACTCTACCTTTAGTAGATTTGCACGGAATTGAACAAACAATCATTTTTGACGTGCCACATACAGTAAATCTGATGGCTTATACTGCAAAAACCAAAAAAAATAATTTCGATATCTGTGGTGGGCACAGCACGGATAGCCCATTGTGTAGCTTTGCGCTTGACATCAAATAAAAAAAACATTGTATGACGTGCTTGCGTGTCAGATTTTGCCTATTTTTATATATATTAAACACTAATAACATAAGATCTAATTATATAATTTTATTTATCCCCACTCCAATTTGAGAGGGCTAACAACGCCAATAGCCGACGTTCAGTTTCAGTCAAGGGACACAGTACATGTAGCCCCATTGTGTAAAAACAAAACTAACCAACATTTTATATATATACATGAATTTAAATTACTACTACCCACGTGGAATTTTGGAGAGTTGAGCACGTTCAAAGTAATCCACGTGTTTTTAATGTAAAATTACTTCTTGTTCGTTTTTATTTTTTTTATTAAACATTTATCAAATGTAAAAAAAAAGATTTCTTCGCCGAAACACGGGTCGTGTTTGTGTCAATTCTCCTGTGGTTCGATTCGTTCTGCGAACATGATTTATCACCCTAGTGCAAGTATAATACAGATGTTTGACTTCTGTTGTTTAACACGTAAATTGTATGAGGGAACAGAACATGAATTACATCCATTTGACTGGGAAAACTAAAGAATGTAGTGAGTGTTGGATCATAGAAAATGAATGTATTAAGTGTATATAATGATATCTATTGAACTTTACCTGGCGGATATTAGGTAACATGTACATGTTTGAAAATAAAAAGTTTATGCTTATATTTCGATTTTTTTTTTAGTTTAATAAGCCTAATGACAGATAATGTAACACTTATTAAAGTTATTTTTGAAAGTGGCAAAGCAGTGAAGTTGGTTACAGAAAACAATTAATAAAAAATGAGACCATATTTTTGTAGTTAAAAACTAGCCATTAACACAAAATAAAACTTAATCCAAGCCATTTGTTAATTCTTTTTCTTTATTTATTAGTCACGTTGCAGTATATTCTGTTGATAATGTTTTTCTTTGAAAGGCGGATATTTATGAGCACGAGGTTAAAACAATGCTTGCATCGCTCTTATGTACATGTAATTAAAGTGTTGCGAGATCTAATCGAAGAAAATCATTTACATCTAAACACCATCTTAATCAATTTAATTATAAAACACACAGGTCAAATTTGTAGTTGTACCAACTTGGACGAAGTACCTAACGAACCGGCTATAAGATTTAACCAAGCATATAAAAAGGAACGCAAAATCTTAGAACTTCCGAAAGTACCAAAGATCGGAAGTACGATTAATGGAAAATCACAGTAAATGGAACTAACTTGATACAGGAGAAACTGGTTTCGAAACATTCGTGTTCCCTCTTCAGTCTTACTTGTCTTTTAATTAACAGGAAAATTGGTAAAACGTTTACGTGACACCGGAACTTCGAATTCCCTCAAGGAGATCAGAAGTTGGCTTTAGGTGGTGTTGAAATTAGGCAGGCTTTCAATGATGCTACTTTTTATGTAGGTGTCAGTTTTGTATAAAATTCTCGTTGATGTCCAGTTGATTTGATGGCTGGAATCTCTCATATGAATAAAAATGACATTGTTTGTTTTCCATATTTCGTCAATTTCCATCTCGCGTCAATAATTATTCCAATTTCACCTACGTAACCTTTTTCACAGGATTAGCATGGTATAATATAAACGTAACCTTTTTCACAGGATTAGCATCGTATAATATAAACGTAACCTCTTTCACAGAATTGGCATGGTATAATGTAAACGTAACCTTTTTCACATGATTGGCATGGTATAATATAAACGTAACCTCTTTCACAGAATTGGCATGGTATAATATAAACGTAACCTTTTTCACAGGATTGGCATGGTATAATATAAACGTAACCTTTTTCACAGGATTAGCATGGTATAATATAAACGTAACCTTTTTCACAGGATTGGCATGGTATAATATAAACGTAACCTTTTTCACAGGATTAGCATCGTATAATATAAACGTAACCTTTTTCACAGGATTAGCATCGTATAATATAAACGTAACCTCTTTCACAGGATTAGCATGGTATAATATAAACGTAACCTTTTTTCACAGGATTGGCATGGTATAATATAAACGTAACCCTGTAAAGTTTATAAATTCATGACCCCCAGTGGCACAGCGATATGACTGCGGACTTACAACATTAGCAACTGGGTTTCGATACCCGTGGTGGGCAGAGCACAGATAGCCCTTTGTGTAGCTTTGTCCTTAATTACAAACAAACAGTTATAAATTCATACTAACATACTGGTCATTACGATAAAACAAAAATTGGTCAACATGTTCAGAGTCATTAAAGACGACAAAATTCGACGGACAATTTCCCAACCATTGTAACAAAGGATCAGGTCGGCGATTTATGGTGCTAATCATTATGCAATTGCAATATACGATGTTGCTCAATAAAAATTAAAAATAAAGATTATTTGGGGAAAAATCTCCATAATTTCTGAACAGTATACTTAGGAAATCTCATTATAATTCTGGTATAAAACATCTACTAAATGAAATGTCTCTTCTAAAGGAATATTGATATAAAAATGTTATACATCAAAACTTACACGTCCTGCGGTGTGACAGTGATAAGTCTAAGGATTTACAATACTAAAATCAAGGGTTCGATTCCCCTCAGTAGACACAGCAGGTAGTCCGATTTGGCTTTGCTATACGAAACACACACAGACACAAAATTTGCACAATTCGGACTATCTGCTGTGTCCACCAAGGGTGATCGAACTCCTGACTTACGGTCATAAATCTGTAGACTTACGCTGTCCCAACGGGGAGACTACACACGAAGCGTTTTTGTTAAACTGTAAATTCTGCATTTCATTAGAAAAATCAAAACTTTCTCTATTAGTTTGTACTCTTCTAAAACATGACAAAAAAAACAGATTATTCATGATTATAAGCATGTACAAGATTGTGTACTTTATATTTAAACTAATATGAATATTTAAGTCAGTAAATCACACAACTAATATGGCTAATATAAAGTTGTGGCTGAAAAGAATATATTATTGACATTGATTGGCGTTTCATAATTAGTGTGATGCCAAGGAAAATTGATCGCTTTAGAAAAGTTTACATATAAGCCCTTTCCGATGCATGATATTCATAAATTAAAATCATAAAGATGCGTTTAGATCGGAGAGTTTTGAATCTCCAAGACTGGGATATTCCTTGTACTTAGTAACATTGAAAACAAAGGAATATGGGTCAACATGGGACACCAGGACTATCCAGGAGAAGACCTGCAATAAGTCATACCCCAACCATAGTAAATAAAGTGCAGCGTTTTGTTTTTCAGGTGAGAATCAATATAAAAGTCAGTGACAAAAGCTGTCTACGTGCCCCAGGCAACATTGTATAGATTCATCAAGATAAGGCTTCCAGTCAAAACCCCCGTTCAACCGTAAAATACCACCAGCAGCTGGAGAATGAAAGGGGTATTCATATTATTGCATATGAAGACATACCGGGGTGGTATATCGTATTCCATACCACTTGTATTAACATAGAATATATTTTTTTAAATTTCATTTATTCAGGTGTATGTGTGGTATACACATAACACGTGGGTCAAGAACATCATTAAATTTCTTTCGCTTTAGCTACCTATTGTTCTGTTTCATTCACCTGAGGTAACATCTTGTTTTGTGACTGCGAAACTGTATTTAGTATGTGAATGCAGACATAATTTTTCCCACTGGAAGGTCAAGTGGTTTCTCGAGGTCATAACTTTCTTTATGTTTTAGTGAGAATGACCAACAGTGACGCAGGTAGTGCATGCTCCCTCAGAGATATATGATTATAAGATTTTGTATATTTTGATATGTTATATCAGCTAGCTCTCTTTCAAGCTCGTGCGTAAGTTTAAGTACTTTATTTCAATAGTAATACTATCTTAATGTTTAATAAGGAAAAACAACTATTTTCAATAAGCCTCTTAATAAGTTCTTGGGAGAATTTTCATAATTAACAATCTGCAAGGCGCCGTCTTTCGTCCTCTGCACTTGTTTAAGTTTGATTGCTTCCGAGAGTTAAATAAAGACCATGTGTTTTACATTGTATCCAGTCTTTTTCTTTCTTAAACTTCAGTCAGAATAAGAGAATTCAGAATTATTTCGTATTAGATATCTTGATCAAATCTCCTGTTATTCTGGGGACCTATCTTATTCACTGTTGGGGAAATCTGTTTTATGTAAGAATGCCACACCAATCAATTCACCATAAACAGCACTTATATATTACTGTGCGATCGTACTGTTGAATGTGGGTCTGGAAAACCGTTATCCTCATGCACTAGATAGATTATGGAAAGCATGACAGCCTTACGTTGTTGCCTTTTGCAATAAAATGTACACTACATGGCTATTTTAAAGATGCACGGTCATCAAACAGAATTTTACTGGTCGTTGTGACATGGACTGTTACACCGTGGTAAGGCTACAAGTTTTTTAAATATAACTCACATCACTCTCTGTATACCAGAAACACTGAGTATAACAGAACACCTTTTTTAAGTACCTTAGGCACACTATATTAAATACCTGGTTAACAACTTGATGGATTTTACATAAAAATATTTTTGTGTTAATAACTGATCTTTTTTAGGATTTAATAAATAATTTTGTAATTTAGTTACTCTGTTTTTTGTAGAATCTATTTCTAACATAATAAACTTTGTATTTGTTGCAACATTCAAAACATTTTCTGTTTTAGAATTATAATCTGCTTTGTTCAAAACAACTATACCATCTTCTTTATTTAAAAAGATGTTGTTTATGAATTCATGTCTTCGATATAATTCTATGTGTGTTGGATCTATTAATTGGTTAAAAACATGCATAAAAGAACATAAAAATTTGGTGGTCAATAAAAAAAACCGAATATGATTAATTCTGGTTTTTAAGACGTTAATGCACCCAAGGAAAGATGTCATGCAAATAAATATATCTTTTCAAATGGTATTAATATTACTTCGTGTCATTTATACGTGATTAAACACTTGGTGAACATGACATAATAGTACACCACAGTTTCTCTGAAATTCTTGTAAGAGGACATGATGAAAGAAGTTTGCACGTTGAACAGAAGCTCTGAATGAGCAATTAAAGGCAGAAGCTGAATGGAGTAAGTTGAGCAGTTAATTTATTACTACTAATATAGTTTGTTGTTGAGCACAATGGCTATCTATGTTGTATCAAAACCCGGTTTTTAGCGTTATAAAGATTCAGACTTACTGTTAAGCCACTGGGTGGCACTACTACCAGTATTAAAAATAATTTTCATTTGCTATTTATGTGGATTTTATTACTTAAATTACAACATACACATAATTTTAAGGAAACGAGTCATTATTCATAAACGTTTTATTATCGCGCTAAACACCTATTTTTATATTACCTAGAAATCGATTAATTATAATCACATTTATATTTTTGAGTGACAAATATTTTCCTTTGTAGGAACCTTTAACAATATTAAACTTAGTAAATTCACTAAATTGTATCTTCTCAATAATTTACATAGTTTTTACATAACGTTCGTACATACACATTTTGGGAGATCTCATTCTCAATGAAAGCTTAGTGGTGGCATCAAAGAAGCTACACTTAGTAAATAAAAGTGGAAGGGCAAACTATAGTTTTCAATCAAAGTGGAAGAGATGTATTTTTTTTCCCTGGGTTTGTTTTCTATATGCAGCAATACAACATCGCCCACTTCAAACTGTAGATAGAAGTTATTTGGACTGATTTTTCTCAAAACGATCTTTATGTTCCAAAGAATTGTTTGAAAAGATTGTACTTTGGTTTTGATTTGGGTTTAATAATAACATGTCCCACGGTAAGGTCAATATCAAAATGACCACAGTTATTCAGTGTATTAACAAGAGTATGGACGGAAATATCAGGAACGCCTAAAACCTGTATGCTCAACTCTTTTTTTTTCATTTTGGATTGGATATGGCGAGCTACACAAGACATCTGGTTTATGGTAAGTTTACAACTATTAAGTTGTAGGTATTTGATTTGTTTTACACTTTCTAAGAGACTTATAATGAATTCATGTTCCATTTCATTTCCATTATGGTAGTTTTCAACGTGGCATTTACTTATATTTATTTCTTCCAGTGAACTGGACATCATACATTTTTTCACATACTTTAAGGTGTCTTCTGGTGTTGACCACAAAAATCTCCAGTGACATATTTTAACGAGTTTTAAAGTTTTCATCATGCCTAAAAACTGGAAAAATTCTTTACTTTGTGCATCATCTAAAGTAGCCAACAAAACAGAATTTTCATGACTTGTGCTTGACATGTTTAACTCCAAAAGAGAAGGAAAGGCCTTTAATACGGCGAAAAAATCTGCACAGTTTAAAACTCTTGAGTTGGATTTTATTTTCACTTTCATTCTTGCGATCAAAAGATGCTTCAAACTTGATTTTCTAAAAGCGCTAAGCTCAAACCAACTGAAATCTTTAACGTCATATGATATGAAACATCCCTCCAAACTTATCCTTTCTAGCTTTGAAATTCTTACAACATCTATGAACATTTTCAATGTTTCTTCTGACGAAACCTCAAATTTCCAGCCTTTGAGGTTCAGAGAACGAAGAGAAACATTATCTTTTATGGACTGAAAAATGACGTGCAGATGTGCATCACTTACAGAAAGTCCACCAGATAAATTTAATTTTTGCAAGGATTTTGTAGTTCCTAAGGCAAGAAATACAGGTATTACACTTCCAACCCGAGTAGCATATTCCAAATTCAGTGACACAAGGGTTGAAGAATACCCAATGGCTTCACCTAAGCATAAACTGTCTATCATCTGAAGTTCACAAGCACCTAAATCAAGCTTCTGAAGCTGACAACTAACATCTTTCAAGGCTTGAAAAATATGATGAAAACCAAATTCTTGATGTTTCTCTTTTTCACAAGAAGGAAAGGCAGTATTAAAATCAGTTGGATTTTCTTCAGGCCTGCAGGAATAAGATATAAAACCAGAAAAACTGCTTTTTTCAAGCCATTCAGAGTTATCAGACCTGGCATTTGGCCACGTACCATCCAGGTTGAGTTTTTTCAAGATTCCATTCCTCAAAACATTTCCGAGAGCTTCAAATCCTTTGGTCGTACAACAAAGGTGTGGAAGGTTTAACGTAAACAACGATGGAGATTTTTCAATTGCATAACACAGTTCACATATTTGATTACTTGTCATTTCCATATCAAAATGAAAAGTATGTAGAGAAGTATTTGACATCAGTCCACAACACACTGCAGTAACTAGTGGTTGAAATTTTCCATCTTCAACATTCTCTCCGAAAAGAGGAATGCACAGTGTAAATCTCTCTAAATTACCATTACTTAAAGAAATCCTGATTATTTTAGCTAATGCCATAACTTCATCTTTTGTAAAAAGGTGGCCCAACAGTGTAGAGATCGATAGTTGTGAAATCGTGGTGTTTTTATTCAAATCCTCAAACAGTTGTTGTCGTAACAAAAAGTCATTGGTTGAACTAATTGGTGTCCATCTAAACTGTACTTCTCTAACAAAACATGATTCATGTTGTAAAACAGCTGTAAGTTCGACTAAACGTGAATCACTGGAGTTAGCAATAAGCTGTACACCAGTAGATCTTGCAACAACTTGAACATTGTTCGAGCTAGTTCCACACTCACTTAACACATCCAACAGAAAGTGAAGGTTTGATTTTAGACTCATGGGTATTGCTTCTATAACAAAGTGAGCATTATTTTTCAAAAGTCCTGTGAGAAAAAGAGTCACTTCTTGCATTGAGAATACATCAGAATCATTAAATAATGTGGCATATTCTTTAAGGCAATGTCTACGTGACGTTTCAGCAATTGAACAGAGATATAATGCTGCAAGATATTCTAATATTGTTTTGTGAATGGCTTGAAAATATTCTTCTCTACAGGCCTTTTTGCCAATGTTATATTTTACGAGGATACCAATGTGAAAGATATGTTCTTCTAAACAATGCTTTTTAATTTCAGATTGTGAGAAATGAAGCCTGTCCTCCTTCAATGCATTCAAGCACACATGACCAAACTTCTTTAATGTATCTTCCAACATAACTTGATTATTTTCTGTATCTGAAAGTTGATGGCGAATTAAATAGCGTTGAACTAAAATTTGAAACAATGACTTATATAACACAGTACAGGTGGTTGGTATTAAGTCTCCTGATTCTTCAAAAAGTACACAAAGAAGGAGGAGGAGAAGAGGACATGAACTTAATGTTCTCAGTTTGGGACTAACCTGTGAAAATATAAGACGAAGTAGAACATCATCATAAAAAGGTCGGTTAACAATATGAAAATATCGCTGAACAAAAGGGCGAACTTGGTTCTCACTAAAACCTACAATCACTATTCTACGTTCAAAATATGGGAAAAGTTCTTCTGCTTTTTTTGGTCTCGTGGTTATTAAAACATTACTCCATGGAAGTTCTCTTCCCTGTAAAAAATCTCGCAAAAGTGCTACCTTAGATTGAGCCAGTTCATCATAACCATCAAGAATGAAAAGAAGTTTTTTCTGTTGTGCCACAAGATGTTTCCAGACAGTATTCCCATAAAGATCATCTTGTAAGATGTCTTTTGGTAACAATTCCTGTAAAACATATTCTCTAAATGAACCAAAGACATTTTTCAAAGGGATAAGAAAGACTATATCAAATCCTTCCATATATCGGCATTTTCTGGTAGCCCAGTCATATGCTAGTTTCTGTGTAAAAGTTGTTTTTCCAAATCCAGCATCTGCTTCGGCTATTATACGAGTCACTCTTTCTGGTACACGCTCATCAGATCCCTGCACAGATAACAAAATTAAATTCTAAGTTAAGGCGGTGACAAATCTCAGTCACAAACAACCCAATATAATATAGTAATGGTGTATATATGTGCATATATTGATATTTTTAGCTGCAAGTTATGTTTTTATGAAAAATAAAGGAAAACGATCAGTCTGTTGATGTTTAAGTGTTCATTTTAAAAGCTACGTATTATTATATAAATCTGTTTATATTAAAGGTTTGGCATTCAAATTAATGAAAGTACTATAAGAATCTCATCCGTCACCAAATTAAAATTTGTGATTTACCAACATAAATGTTATGACTCCTAAATATTTATAAAACATGCTACATAGGTGTCCTTCAATATATTCGTACAAAATCTAACACTTGTTAAGCATATTATTACATATAGAAATATTTTGAGTTAATCAGATATTTATTTTTTGACTAAATACATTTTACTTTGTGTAATTTACAAAATTATTACAAATAGATATAGCTCCTAATGTTTACTTTTATTTTCTAAACAGACAAACTTATAAGAATAAGGTGACAGATGGTCATTTAACCTAGAATTCCCAACCAAAGGTACAACTGAAACAAGCAAACCAATCCATAAGTGTATAACTCTATCAGAGTAGTTATTTTCACAAAATTCGAATCTGGATTTGAGTTTTCAAGTCTTGTACTTATTGCTTATGATATTCATGTTTTCATTATGAACCTTGTATTTCTTCAACTGAAGCAAGCATTCCATAAACTGATGGTTTCTAAAACTCTTGACACAAAAAAAATACAAATTCAAACCATTTCTAATTTTTCATTACACCAATTTTAAAAAAAAGATCAAATATTTGAATCTGACATCATTTTAGTAGCCCTTGGTAGAAAATTAAAAAAATTGAATAGACCATTCTTTTTATGGGATCAAAGTGACTAACAAGGTCTTTCAAGGAATTGTTTTGTGTTCTTTGTTCTTCATTATTGATGTCAGGAAGTTCGATACCATCCTGGGCAGTAATATTTCTAAATCTTCTGATGCTACTAAGATACTGATAAAAGTGATGCTGTTGAAAATGTTTCTTTCATCAAAAAATGCCTAATTAGTCACAATGCTTTGTCCAAAAAAATAAAAAAGTGTTTTATTATTGAGAAACATTAAGCACTTGGGTTGCGATATTTTGAAAATGACTGACTTCTGATGTACATATGTTCGTGTAGAGTATTGAGAAAGTTAGTAATAAATAAAACATTATCAAAGCTATAATAGCTATGAATTTCATCCTTAGATAATCATTACAGAATATATATTTATTGAGGTATATTCTGGAAATTTTTATAAATTTCCATACAAGTATTTTTTTTAATATGACATTCTTACATATAGCAATGGTTGGAAGCTTGCATCACCTTGGCCCTATGTCTTTGTCCACTCACTGAGGCAAGTGAATCAATCTCAAAGAGTGATACAGATACTTGTACAAATTGGTATGTGTTGGGGTAGGCGTGTACTATAAGCTTTGGAACATTATTTATTTAGTCGGGTTTTTAACTTGATGTTTTTGTCTGATGATATGATGCATGGTGTAAGTGAAACTTTTGTCGGATGTGAATTATATTTATTTTGGTTTTTGGAGGGTATAAGACTTCAATTGGCTAAAGAACCTTCCATCACCTTCCTCATTCTTACTTAAGTTTATTTTAATTATCTCTGACAAAAGGTTTCAACACATTACTAACATGCTATATGTAGCCTAATAAACAAGTTACCTTTCCAATGAACAATGATTCTAATGTGATTGGAGTCTGAAATTGTTTTTCTCCTTGAGGTGACACTGGGATTAGACTTAGCGTTGTGTAGTATTCTTCTAGAGGTAGACGAAATTCTTGACACCAGGGAAGCGGAGTTGTCCAGGCTAGATGTGTGCGATAGCGTTCCCTTAAAAAATCAGAAATAATTTCTCCGATAGATGTGGGGCCATCTATGACGAGACAAAATAGAAATTCAAGTTAAATATATTAATATAAAAATCGGAAATAATTTCTCCGATAGATGTGGGGCCACCTGTGACGAGACAAAACAGAAATTCAAGTTAAATATATTCTTCTAATACACCAAAGTAGTTACTCAATTTGTGTATATAATTATAGAGGATTAGGGGTTTTCCCAGGTTTTTGAGGTGAATTAACTATAGCAATCCGGGTAGTTGAAGACCCAGAGGTAGCACCTTGGTGAGGAATCCTGGGGCGAAGATTTTACGAAGCTACATCATTTCAAGCTTATTGAACAGTAAAACATGAAATTACAAGTACTTGAAACATGCATTATGAAATTATGTATTTTATTTTTAGAAAAGAAAATTTAAACAATCCATATTGATAAAGACAACGCTTGAGACATAACTTTACAAGTTTCTGCTTTCACCAGCTGTATCGTAATTTGTTACCTAACAGTGCTTACGCAAAGCAAGAGATCACTCCCTATTATTTACTTTCAGAGGCGTCGCTAAGCGCTAGCAAACGGGGCCCGTGCCCCGATTATATTTCACAGTGCTCCGAATCTCCAGTTGCTGTCTTGAAAAATTAGAATAGAAAACGATCTATATCACACTGAAACGCCGAAATTTCCCCGCATCTATGGGCCCGTGCCCCGAATCTTAAGTACCTAGCGATGCCTCTTCTCACTTTCAACAGGTGTAGTTTGACATGCGTAAAAAGATTTAAATAAAAAAATTAGGAAGTAGCATTGGGAGCACCAAAAAAGTAAGGAAACAAGGTCGGAATGGGCGTGATAACATTACAACACATTGGTATTTTTTTTTCACATGTGCAATCTCAAAGTGGGTGTGGCTAACGTTCAAACTAAATGAAAGGTGTATATAGCTAAATGTCTCTGTTGTAAGCATTGTTTCTGCAACTAAGTACAGATACATGTATGTAATCAAATTATGCGAACCTAACGAAATGCGTGATGTCATAAACGGGGTGTTTGATGTCGGAAGTGAGACAAGAAGTTCCAGTAGTCATACTTTGCTTATGAGAGCCATTATAGCTATCGGACTGGTAAGGGATGGGCCAAAAGAATAGTATCAAAACCACTGATTTTTGAAATTTTAAGATTTGTTGAATATTTAGAAATGATTAGCTACTGATAAAACTCAATTCAAGTCTATAGTTGGATCAGAGTTCAAAGTAAAACATGAAGTAGGAATGGGTGGAACAATACCACACCCACTTGTAATGGGTTCAAGTGTTGTAATGTTATCTCGTCCATTCCTACCTTATTTCCTTACTTTTTGGTGCTCCCATTTCTACTTTCTAATTTTTGCATTTAATATCCTTTATACACTGGCAGCAATTTCTTTGGCTGGATTAATTGCTAAGGCTTGTTTCGCAAATTCAGCATTGCTGCTTCTAATCTTATCTCTATTCTTGCAGTAATGCTCTCTTTGTTGGGACAAAGACTTTTCAAGGTTATCAACATAAGATTTTTCTTCTTTTCTCTCGTTTTGTTTCCTTGAAAGGCATATTTTGAATATTGCACTGTTTCAAGTACAACCTTAGATGTCGATAGATCATACTCAGTTTCAAAACAACGCAAAATTAAATCATACAACTTATTGTTTTTGTTTTGAATCCAGAGCATTCGAACAAAGCCGTTTGAGACTTCGGCAGTGGTAGCATTTGTCCTCATGTTTTAGGTTTGCTTGTTTTAAGTAAGCACAAAGCTGCTACACAACGGGCTGTCTGTGCTCTGCCCACCACGCAGACATACCGTTGTGCCATTGGTAGACTCACAACTACTATGATAGAATTGCCTTGTCCAACACAGAACCCTTGAGTCAGATGTAGATAATTTAAAAGTTCGCTTTCAAAGGTTGGATGGTTGTCAGATTGACAAATGTGTGGTTTTTTTTACATTGTTTACTCTACCGACTTTCTTAAGTGATTTGGAGGCTTGTTACTCTGTAGTTGGTTTGTTTACTAGTCAATAGTGTGTGTACAGTGCTTATAAAGTTTAGTTTACATGTCGTTTGCAGTGTGTTTGAAATTTTAATTTGTATTGCACATATGGTTCATTCATACTAAAGTACTATGTGCAGCAGTGTGTCATATATTTTTCACAATAACTTAACTCCATGTCTTGCATGCCTGCAGTCTATAAGTGCTCATCAGAAGCTTCCTTAAATCCGCTAGTGTGAATGTGTTGATAAGATGTATGAATAAAGTTATTATGCATTGCGTTTCTATTCACCAGGTGCCACCATTTGGCAACTTTGAATGTATATGGTTTATGGTGAAATGGAAACAGTTCATACAACCCCAACCCTCTCCATAACACCCTTGGAATTATAGAAATATGTGAGGTTGATAAAGAGACATGGGAAGGGACAATAAGTTATGTCAAAAACATTATCCTACAGCATTGTTAAGCTTCTGTTAGATTTACTTAAATATTTAATATTAACTTGATAGTAATAAAAACTTGAGATTTTATGGAAGTTAGTTTAGATTTTGGAACAAACTTTACAACGTTATGATAAATTTAATGCCGAGAAAATATTTTTTGATCATACAGGAGAGCTAATAGAAAGTTAATTAATTTTTGGCTATATCATTACTATTTCTATATGTTAGATTCATCTCGAAAATAACTACGTCAATTACGTGTATAATGCATATTGTTTTGTTACTTTTTTTCTGAAAAGGTTATTTTGCAGTTAAAAAGGTAATAAAAAAGGAGTGGCATAAAAATACACAAGAGAACAGACTATTTTCATAGATCATCAACTTATCAAAACTAACCGGTTTGAGCATCAGATTTTGAAATTTGAGGTACACTTTCTTGTATGGAACTGGCTTCATCCTGTAAAGAAAAAATAAACAAAACAAATAATTGTCAGGTTTTGTTTTTGTGGATTGTTATACAGTAGGTGTCTGTGACTTGTTGACAGTAAAGGTGATGATAAATGAACAGCACCCACTACACCTGTTTCGATATCAACATATATATTCTGAACTAAATACACACAAATGCATCAGCATACACATTAACCTTCCCTTGTCCATAGCTTTTCTGCAGTTTGCTTATTCTTTATGTTCCACTGGCCCACTTTATATCCCTCGTTTCATCTTCGGTTTGCCACCACCTCTTCACTTTCAGTTCCACGTGCCACTATACTCTCGACAACAACGAGTCACCAACGCAAAACACATCAAAATGAGAAAAACAAACGAAATAATATAACAATAATCATACAACAAATCAATAATAGTCTTTTATATCGTGACATAAATCCCTCTTCAGGAAGCATATTTACAATATTTTCTTTTCCATGATATACAAAGCTTCTTCATTCACATACAAAATCTGCTCAGACAGTCTGCTCCAACATTCGCAGTCCCTTTGATAGCTCCTATGTGGAACCTATAGTTCTGAAGGTACAACACCCACCTCATGAATGAATTTCCTGTAGTATTCTGCTAACCCCAGGAAGGATCTGACTTACTGCTTATTCGTTGGAGCTGGTGTATCTTGTATGTGGATTATATTCTCCATTTTCATGGCTATCTGTCGATTCCCAACTATATGTCCAACAAATTCTAGTACGGAATATCTGACGTAGCACCTGGATGGTGAGGCCTGCTGCTCTCATTCTCTGGAATAACTGTTTAAGTCTCTTCAGATGGTCTTCCCATCTTGCAGTGTGTATCAAACATCATCCACATCGTGCTCGATGTTGGTGGTGTTGCACAGCATCCCCCTCACTATGCAGTTGAATGTTGCTGCTCAGCTCACTAATCCAAATGGCATTCACTTAAATTGGTAACATTCATCTGGTGTCACAAATGCTGTCTTCTCTTTAGATTCTGTCTCTATTGGAATTTGCCAATAACCTTTACTGATGTCGATTCAAGCTACAAAAATGGTCTCCACTTCCTGCTTTATTAGGTCTCTCATCGTATAAGACATATGATATAGCTTCACTCTGACTGGATCTTTGATTGTGGTCTCGATCTTGTGTTGCACAAGGTCTGTCTTCCAGGTTTATCCATGAAGATATCTGCATATTGGCACAGTAGGTCTTGTAATACTTTTTTTATTGTTTGCCATTCATTTCTTTGTTGATGTTAACGTCTTTATATGTCTCATCTCCACCTAGTAATGTTACGTCTAGTAGGTCCTCTAGGTCTAGTAGCTGCACCTGTTAGATCCTCTTCTCTCCCGAAATACTTCAACAAATTGCCATCACATTCACCTTGTAGTCCATTCTGTTGAGTACTTACTGTATTTCAAAAGGTCCTTTCCATTGCAGAGTGAGTTTGTTATGATCTGTGAGCACCAGAACCTAGACCTTTTGTCCAACCTTGAAATGTAAATCCTTGGCTTTCTTGTCATAGAAATGAGCTGCATACAAGCTATGTCGAGGAAGTTGACAGATCTCCTCCATTCGGTTTCTGAGGTCAAACACATACTGATACGTGTTCCTTATTTCTGACTCTTCTTCTCCAGTCCATAGCTCTTTCAATATTTGCATCGGACATCGTAGTGATCTTCCATACAGTAATTCAAAGGATGAAAATCCTGTACTTGCCTGTGGGACTTCTTGATAAGCATATACAACTGCTTGCAAGTACCTATCCCAGTCGCGTGGTCTCTCTTGGCACATCTTCCTTAACATGCTCTTTAAAACTCCATTTATTCTCTCACAAAATCCATTACATTTAGAATTGTATGGGGTGGTAAAGAGTCGCCGAGTACTGATGAGTCTGCACACTCCCTGCATTAGTTCTGAGGTAAACTGGGTTCTTCTATCACTCAGGATTTCTCTCGGAAAGCCTACTCTGCAAAATATCTCCAGAAGAGCTTCTGCTAGTCTTTCTGTCTCTATCTCTGCCAGTACTATTGCTTCTTGATAACGTGTTGCATTACGTGAGGGAGGGGTTATAAGGAAAACTGTAACATTGGAAACAAATGAAACGTCATCAATACGAAAGCAACTCCAATCATTCAACAAAAGGGCTTCTAATCAGTCAACAAAGGGACTGCTAATTAGTCAACAAAAAGGCCCCAATCAGTTTTTATATTGCTCTATATATTATGTTTGTTGTTAAGTACAAAGCTACACAATGGACTACCTGTGCTCTTATGTATCATTTTAAAATAGCAAAGGCGTTTCCAATCCATCATAAAAGGCGCCTCAATCAGTTTTTTAATGGTCCTGTACAATATTTATTATTTTAATATTGGCGTGCACATAGCCCCAGTTCCGTAGAGATAGCCCTCCGAAAAGTTAGGGCCGGGTTTTTGTGAGAATTTGACGTTGACAGGAATATTGTGTTTACTGGCGAGTTTAGTCCAAGTGTGGATAATTCTTGAGCTGGTTTCAGGAACAAAAGGTAAACTGTAGTGTAATGTACTGTTGTTGGGTT